GGCTTCTCAAGCTGCCCAAGCCCATCTGCTTGGGTTCAGATTTGAGCTCTCATTCTTTCCAGCTGTGTGACCCTAGGCAAGTGGCTTCAGCTCTCTGTGCCTGGGTCTCCTCAGCGGTACAACGGGGACGATTGCAGTTCTTACTTTGGAGGGTGGGTGCTGAGGATTTGAACCAAGTCCACAGACCTGGATTTGTTACCTATTCTTTTTAATTAATTGATTAATTTTACAGTAGAACGCATTTTGACATAGTGCACACACGGAGCCCAACGTGTCCACATTGCTCTGGCTGTACGCGGTGCAGTCCCTCCGGCAGTGTAGCCCTAGGCGTCCACAGGGTAATAAGGCCTGTTTCTCCCATCCCCACACCCCACCCCTCCTTCCCTCTACACAAACCGCAGTTCCTTCATTCTTCCCATCCCCCAGCCCCACTGTGGATCAGCATCCGCTTATCAGAGAAAACAGGCGGCTTTTGGCTTTGGGGGACTGGCTTATTTCACCTCGACGTCACCTTATTCTAACTGTTCTTTTATTTTTATTAGGAGTGAAAGCCTGGCTCCCTCTTTGCCAAGGGCCACTGCCTCCTGCAGCCCAAGAACAAACCCTGAGGTCACGTGGTCTCCTTCCCTCTCCACCTTTTCCCTCTCTCTCGCAGGAGCCAAGGGTCCCAAGGGCTCATGCTGACAACCCCCTCTGCCCTGAGCCCTTGGCTGTGAGCAGCTCCTCAGTCGGGGACAGCCCGGGGCTGTGGTCCCACCCAGGCCCTGCCAGAGGTGCGGGAAGCGCAGGGCAGGTCTCCTGGGCTCCACCGACTGTTCTCTTAGAAATCAGCAGGGGCATCTCTGAGATGCAGCAGCAGGGGCCTGGGAGAAGGATGGGCTCAGGTGGACGAGCTGTCTGAAGCAGCCCGGGAGGCAGCACACGGGGCCTGGTAAACCGCAGCCCCGTCAGCGGGCCCTCTGCACTGCCCCTGAACTCCAGACAGCTGGAAAAGGGCTCTGCGTGCGTCTAGGCGCTCCTTTTTTTTATTCCCTCTCTAAGCCCTTCAAACACTTCTCCGAGGGCGGACGTGTCTAGGCTGCCGCAGCCCTGGTCTGTTTATAGGACTATTTACTCGGCTGTGCGCAAGCAGGAGTACCGTTGCCGTGGCAACGGCTGCCTGATGCAGGGTCTGCTCGGAGCGGCTGGATAAATATGGAATATTTGTACAAGTATGGTCAGAGGTACAGCACTGGAGACCGAGGTATGCATGATACACAGCGCAGGCTTAGGCTGCTGCAAGGAGAGGAGGCTTTGCAGGAAAGTGCATTTGAAAAGGAACAACAGGGAGAGCCATTTAGCGACAGCAGCAAGTGCACCGCAGGCCACAGGGGTCCCCTTTTTTCTGGTCAAACATGGATGCCTTTTATGGATTTGAGAGGAAGGGAAAAAAGAAAAGACCAGCAAAAGCCCTGAACTGCTGATAGAAGAAGAGGCAGACATGACCAAGTGGCAAAGCCTTCTTCTCTCCCCTGTCCATGACCCTGAGCTGCAGGGTGGAAATCCTAAGTGGCAGCTTCAGGCTTTGAGCCTCCATGGAAAGGAGGGGAGATGGAGATCCTAATGGGAGGTGCTGCTGCTGTGGATTGGTTCTCTGTCGCTCAGCCCCTCTCCTTTGAGACAGGAGAGTTCCTGGATATATGATGAGTTGTCAGGATATGAGGGGAGACTGAGGGGTTTAGGACACAGGGCACTTGCATCACCCAAGTCCCCCAAAGGCAAAGCAGCCAGATGATGGTCTCCCAGCAGTGCCGATCCCCGGGCTGATACGCTGCAGCAGGGCAGGCCTCAGGGGACCAGGGCAGGGTCTGTGGGAAAGGGATGGCCACCCACGCATGCCCACTGAGCATGCAGCAGCTACCCTGTGCACAAAGCAGGTGCTTCTGTCTGCACAGGAATCTCCCCAAACACTAGCTAAATTTTCATATGACTGCATTACTTCTGATGAACCAGGACACAAACCACTTCTTTTCCGTCCTAATAAAGCCTGTTAAGTGGGTCAAAATGGGCTCCCAAATGCATCATCTCCCATCTCGCTGTAGGTAAGTTCCCCGCAGCTCCTGAACAGACCCCGGCTGCTGCCTAAGCCTCAGGAAGATCAGGCCATGGCCTCACACACAGTCTTCCATGGCCAATTTGTTTTTTGCTCCTCCAAAGGGTAGCTCCTTCCCAAGTTTCCAGAAAAGGCAAACTGAAAGAAGCAGCCACATGCAGCCTGAACTGGAACGGGGCTGAACCAATCGGTTATTTTGCAAAGGGAAAATGCTTTCCACCATGTCGGTGGACCTGACTGCAGGTTGGAAGATTACGGTTGGTGAGCCGTGTGAGTTCTCATTGCTGACTTTTGAAAGAAGACATACTTGCTCAGAGCCACTGGCTTCCTTGACTCTCCTTCCCTACCTCACTAAGCTGCTGAGACTGGCTTTGAATTCTCCATCCACTTTGGTTCCACTCTCTGCTGATTCCCGAGTTTTTCCGAGGAGGATAAGGAAGACATCTGTTTATCTTTCCTCCTGAAGCTTCTCCCTTTCCCCTGGAATTGAGGCTTAAAGCACATGGGCCCACCTCAGAGGTGGACCCATGGCCAAGTCAGGACGGAACGATGCTTGTTATTATTATTGTTGAATCCAGCGCTTGGATGAGTGTTCTATGACTGAACTACATCTCCAGAACCTTCTTTCCTTTTTATAGATGTCGGATCTTATGATTTTTTTTTTTTAAATTTCAGTACTGGGGGCTGAATCCACAAGGGCTCTACCACTGAGCTACACCTACTCAGGGCCTAAGATGCCCAGGCTGGCCTCAAATTTAAGATCCTCCTGCCTCAGATTCCTGACTCACCGGAATGACGGGTGCATACCTCTGCACTTGGCACAGATAAGAGTATCTGGAGGAACTGAGTTAAAACTCAAAGATACATAGTCCCTACGATGTGAAAATGGTTTATTTTCAAGTGATCCCAAGAGAGATCAAGCACTTGAGACACACAGGGAAAAAAAAAGACATTGTTTGAACCCTTGATCTATCCCTACCTGAAGCTACACTATTCCTTTTTTTTTTTTTTTTTCAATGCTAGGGATTGAACCCACTGAGCCATATACCCAGCTCTTTTTTTTTGTATTAATTTAGAGACAGGTTGTCACTGAGTTGCTTTGGGCCTCACTAAGTTGCTGAGGCTGGCTCTGAACTCTTGATCCTCCTGCCTCAGCCTCCCCAGCCACTGGGATTCCAGGCGTGCACCACCATGCCTGACTACTCCTTGGCTTTTCTAGTAACATGAACCAAGAAATTTCCTTTTCCACTTAAGCTAGTGCACGCTGGGCTTCTATTATCAGCAACCTAAGGGATTCTGGGTATGACAGACACAGAGGAGGTCCCACCCAGAAGTGAGTGCCAAGCACCGCCTTACCTATATGTTGGGCACAGGTGTCACAATATTCCGCATACAGGGACTCGAAGCAGTGGCAACAGTAGGGCCTCCCCTCCTTCATGATGTAGCGCTGGCCGCCCAGCACCGTCTCGCACTCGAAGCAGCAAAAGTGTTTCATGTGCCAGTGCCGCCCCTCTGCTTCCGTACATTCGTCTGCAAAGATGATCTGGAGATGGGGAAGCCAAATGGTGTCAGCGTTTGAGACCCGGTCATAAGAGCACACTTGGTTTCTTGTACGAGGGATTGAACCCAGAGGTGCTTAACCACTGAGCCACATCCCTGACCCCTTTTACGTATTTTATTTAGAGACAGGGTCTCGCTAAGTTGCTGAGGCTGGCTTTGAACTTACGATCCTCCCATCTCGGCCTCCCAAGCACACTTCTAAGCAGGAAAGTTACAGGGGCCCCAAAATAGAAGGGCAAGGAAGCAGGTCTCGCCCATAAATCATTAAAAAACACCAGTCTGTGTGTGTGTGCTCTGTGTCTGTATCAGTTCCTACATTTGGGTTTGCCTAAAGCACAGTTAAATATGGTGCCTGGCCTGACCAGTGATTAACTTAGCCACATTTAAATAAGAGAAAGAATGTTTTACCCTGAAGAATATAAAGAAGAATGAAAAACAAACAGCTCTTGGGCACACTGGACATACGTATATTTCATTTAGCTGCTACACAGTATGTTTAGGAATGGAAAATATCAACACCTGGAATCCTGGTTTGTCCTCTGAAACCTAATACTGACCGATGCTCACTATTCATTCCTGCACGGTGGTAAAGGTGGAACTAGGCAGAGAGAGTGCTGCTTTCAGGGGAGAGGCATGCTGTCCAGTTTGTCACAGTCCCCACTACTCCCTAGTGCCTTAAGATGGAGCAGCAGTTCCATTTATGACACCTACCCAGCCCGCTAAAGCAGTTGTGTTTTGCCTACTGAGGAACAACTGCGATACATTTCAAAGCACTGTTATGAAAACTTAACACCAAGCTACAGTCACCAAGCCAGCATGATACCGACCTTAGGATGGATGTGGAACTAAATAGAAGAGAGTCCAGGAATAATCAGTCAATGGCCCATAGATTGTCCAAAAGGGTGCCAAGGACATTCCACGGGGAAAGAATGGTCTCTTCCATAAATGGGGCTGGGACCACTAGGAAAGAATCGATTCGAATCCTTGCCTCAAACCACACGTGCAAGGGATCAGAGACCCAACCATAAGAGCGAAAACTGACAAGGGATCAAAGACCTAACCATAAGAGCAAGAACTGATAAAACACGGAGAAGAAAACACAGGTGTAAATGTTTTTGCCCTTGGGCAAGGCAATGATTTTTTAGATACGACACTAAACATATAAATAAAAAAAGAAAAAAGCAGATAAAGTGGACCCTATCAAAATGCAGAACTTTTATGCTCCAAAGGACATCATCAAGAAAAGGAAAAATACAACAAATAATAATAAATGCTAGAAAGGATGTGGAAAAAGGAACAATTTTACACTATTGGTGGGACTGTAAATTGGTATAATCATTATGGAAATCAGCATGGCAGTTTCTCAAAAGACTAGGCTTGGAACCACCATACGACCCAGCTATACCACTTCTAAGTATTTATCTTGAAGAATTAAAGTCATCTTACTACAGTGATACATGCATACCCATGTTTACAGAAGCACAATTCACAATAGCCAAACTATGGACCTAAGCTAGTGTCTACCAATGGATGAATGGATAAAGAAAATGTGGTCTATATACACAGTGGAATATTACTCAGCCTTAAAGAAGAATGAAATTAGGGCAATTTGCAGGAAAATGGGTGGAACTAGAGACTGTCATGTTAAGCAAAATAAGTCAAACTCAGAAGGCTAAGGGCTGTATGCTTTCTCTCATATATGGGAGCTAAAGAGGAAAAAGGAAATGAAAGGTGAGGATGGATCTCCTAAAAATCAAAGGAAAGAGACCCAGGGGTGAAAGGCAGGAAAGGAGGGGGGATATTCTGGGGAGTAATACTGACCAAAATATATTATTATATTGTATGCATGTACAAATATATAATCATAAATCCCATCTGTATGTACAACATAATGTACCAATAAAAAAATGTAGGAAAAAATAAAATGAAAATAACACCATAAAATTGGAGAACATATTTCAAAATTATATATCAGATAAAGGACTAGTACCCATATTATATAAAGAACACTTAGAACTCAATAAAGAAAAATAACCCATTGGAAAAAAATGGCAAAGGATTTACACAGACATTTCTCCAAAAGAGGCAATATACAAATAGATGATAAACATTCCTAGTAGCTCAACATTACTAGTAGTTGTGAAAACATGAACCAAAACCTCCATGGGAAATCACTTCACAGATACTGGAGGACTATACCAAAAAAGATAGATGAGACAAAAGCAGACATTAATGAGAATATGAAGAAACAGAATCCTCATTCATTGAGAGCAGGAATGCAAAATGGTATAACTGTTTTTGATAATAGCTTTGCATTTTCTCAAAAAGTCAAACTTAGGATAACCAGATGACCCAGCAATGCCACTCCTAGATAGATACATATGCAAGAGGGTAAAATATACCTAGAATCTATTCACGAGCAACTTCATTCATAATAGCTAAAAACAGAAACAATTTCAATGTTCATCAATTGCTTAAAGGTTAAGCAAAATACATATAACTCAGCCATGAAAAGGAATGAAATACTCGTATACACTATGACATGGATCAACTTTGAAAACATCCCACTAAGTGAAAGAATCCAGATGCTTTTATTTCATTAATAAGAAATGTCTAGAATTTGTAAATCCGGAGAGACAGAGAACTGAAGCAGTGGCTGTCAGGGCCTGGGAAGAGGAGAATGATTGCTAATAGATAGAGACAGTCTTTTTGGTTGATGAAAATGATCCAGCATAAAACAGGAGTGATGATTGCACAACTCTTTGAATACACTAAAAACCACTGAGCTGTCTATTTTCAAAGGGGAACTTGAGTTATGCAAATTATATCTCAATAAACACAAATTTCAAAGTAAAATTCCTTCCATCTTCGCATTCTCTTTGGTATTATCGAACCCAAAGTTGCCTCATGGGCATGGATTTCCAGACGTGGACACTGAGGCAGGATGGTAAAGAGGTGACACGGAATCACAGAGCTGGAATTCAGTTCCCCAGTGTATGCTCACAGAGTCTCTTTGGTGCACTGCTACTGGCATTAGAACCCAAATTATTATAATTATTTTTTGGTACCGTGGTGATGGAACCCAGGGGTGCTAAACCACTGAGCCACATCTCCAGCCCTATTTATTTTATTTTATTTTTTATTTTGAGACAGGATCTCACTAAGTTGCTTAGGCCCTCACTAAGTTGCTGGGGCTGGCCTTGGGCTTGTGGTCCCCTGCCTCAGCCTCCTGAATTGCTGGGATTACAGGTGCCCTCCTGACATTGCGAATCCCTTTTAGGCCCTTTTATAAGAGAAACACCCATGTGACCGTGGATTCCAGCTGGAAAAGGGCAATGTTCTCTCCAAGATTGCTCGTTTATAAGGTCAGGGAGACCCCAAAACACCTCTATGCAGGAGGAAGCCTGGGTCTAAGGCCTTACCCCACAGGATTCTCATGAAAGTGGTCAGGTTGGGACAGTTCCTCTCTCTGCCCCCATCTTTCATGCTGAATCAGCTCTTCTCTCCTGCAACCCACGTATCAAACATGAGCTCACTTCTGGTTCAGGGGAGGGCTGGATGCCAGGTAGGGGCCCTACGTTCTCTTTTGACTTCTTACCCGTGTAACACATTTGGACACCACCTAGAGTTAGGTGCCCTGGCAGAATAGCCATCTGCTCCTTGAATTTTCACTGAGAACTTGTTTAAACAGTGGGTAGATCAAAGAGCACTACCCAGTCTCTTCTTTTCTCTAACCAACTTGTCCCGTCAAATCTTGGGCAAGTGGCACCTCATATCATCCCCTAGGATTTGGGCTAAAATCTAAAGCTTTTAGAGTTCTGGACTGATCTAGTGCCAACCATATCCCCTTGGGACTTTCCCTGGCCACACTCAGTAAAGTGAGCCATAACCCAGACATTGTAGCGACCTCATTGTCGCAGGGATCGCGGGTGTGATTCCTGGAGATTGAACCCTGGGTCTGCACCACTGAGTTACATCCCCAGACCTTTTTCTTTCTTTCTTAAGTTTTGAGACAGGGTGTCGCCAAGCTGCCAAGCTGGCCTGGAACTTGCCACCCTCCTGCCTCTACTTCTTGAATCACTGGGATTACAGTGGGCTGTCACCACACCCAGCCAAGGTTCTTGGAAGGGTTAAGGTTTGCCTGTAGTTCTCTGCTGTACAGGAAGCTACAGAAGGAGGCGGCTGTGGCTGTGACGCAGCCCAGGGGGTGACAGGGGACAGGTGCGGGCTCTGACCTCATCGCAGGCGGCGCAGCGCGGCTTCAGGCACTCGGCATGGTGCCTGCCGCAGTAGATCTTCCCGTCTTGGTAGAAGTAGATCAGATCCACCAGCAGCTCGTTGCAGACGGTGCAGATGAAGCAAGGCGGGTGCCAGCAAACCCCGTGGCCGGCGCGCGAGGCGAACACGGCGATGTCCCCGCCATTAATCTGGCCTCCGCACTGTGAGCCAAAGAGACACATCAGCACCCAGACACCAGCCCCATCTCCTAGTGCTGTGCACAAATGACAAAAGGCCACCACCACCAGCTGGTGACCAGCCCCACTGTGTTCCTTCCTTTGCGTTCCTGGCCGGGCAGGTCTTGCGGGTCCTTCCCCTGCCCTTGCCTAGGGCCTCCATGAGATGACAATAAAGAGACTGGAGAAGGAGGTCTCTTTATTGTCATTAGGAAGGGGGGACAGGGAGAGAAAAACCTCAGCATAACACCAGGCAGGGGGCCCACATGCACAGAGGGAAGGTCTCAAATCTTCTAGAAATTCCAAGCTGCACGCAGAGGGTCACCTGCTCAACACCAGCAGGAGCAGGCTGGGGAGGAAGGAGGGCAGACGAGGGGCGTGGCCTAGGGGCGTGTCTGGGGCGTGGCCGAGGGCTGGGGCCTGCACCATTGGATGGAACAGGGAATGGGCGGGCCTACCAGAGCCTACCGCTTGAACTACCTTTTCCAGGTATCATTCAAGTTTGCTTCTACTCTCTTCTTCTGACATACTTTCACATAGTCTTGATCGAAATGTACCACTTCCCCCCTCCCAGTACTGGGGTGCTCTACCACTGAGCTACCTCCCCAGCCCTTTTAATTTCCAGATAAGGTCTCCCTAAGTCACTGAGGCTGGCCTCAAACTGTGATCCTCCTGCCTCAGCCTCTGAAGTCGCTGGGATTATAGGTGTGCATCACCAGATCAGTGGCCAAGTCCTACCTCTTTTTTTCTTTTTTTCATTCAGATCCCACCCTTTAAAGGGCACTGGTCCTGGGAAAATCCTGGGAGAGGGGCTGGTTCATGGTCCAGGCGTCTCCATTAGTAAATGCACAATTTCAAATATGAATCCCTCATGTCAGTCCTCTGCCAGGTCCTTCCAGGGGCTCACATGACCCTCCACAAACTCTCACTTTATTTGCTAACCGTCTTCCTTCATCCCCTCTGCCCCAGCCACAAGGGGCTCTGAGATGGCTGTACTTGGTGCCCCAACCCCTGCATGACTCCCTCCCTCTTGCAAGTCTTTGCTGAGATGCCCCCTTCTAAGTGGAGTCTTCTCTCCCATCTAAGCCTACAGCTTCTCTAGCCTCCCACTCCTTGCAAGCCCCCTTCTCTGACATATTTTTTGTTGTTCTTGGTTGAATGTATTGTCTTCTTTCTCCAGAGAGCGCTTCCTTACAAAGGCAACATTACGTTTTCATGTCTTATACACTACTGCATTCTCAAGTTTAGAAAAGTGGCAGGCGCACAGTAGGTACTCAATAAAACAACTGTCAAATGAATGAATGGGCAGATGAAAAAATGAATGAATGAGTGGTGAATGGATGGATGAATGAATAAACAGAAGAATGAATAAATGAATAAACAGATGAATGAATGAATGAGTAAACAGATGAATGAATGAATGAGTAAACAGATGAATGAATGAATGAATAAACAAATGAATGAATGGACAAATGCATGAAGGAGGGACAAATGAATGAATGAACAGTTGAATGAATGAACAAACAATTCCTCTTCCAACCCAGAGTCCTCACTTACCTGCTCACAAATGGCTCCTGTCATGGTGACAGGGAAGGGCCTGACATTCCCTCTGCCCAGGTTTTCACGTTTCCTCTGGTTGCTGAACAACTTAAGCTCCCTCTTCTCTTCCTCATCCAGGGAGTTGCAGTATCGAACCTGAGCACACACACACAGAAGGCAGATGCCCCGTGAGAGTCCTGAAGCCCAGGCCCCAGAGTTCCCTGCTGCTGCTTGGTTTTCCAGTCCCTGCCTGATCGTCAGCAGTCTCAGGCTTGGATCAGTTTAAGATGAGCTGCTCCTGAGATCACCACCAACCCGAGGGGCTAACGGAGGGCTCTGAACTCCAGAGTCCAGGTCCCAGGCAGCCCATGGATTCTGAAAGTGTTTCTCCCTATCTTCCCTCACTCTGCGGACCACCCTCAGACCCAAGTCACATGGACAGGCAGAGCTGGCAAAGCTCTGGGATGTGTCTTTCCTCCCAACTGTAAGGACCTGATACTTTCACCTGCAGCTACCTAGGTAAATGGTCCTTGGCACCAAGAATGGTCCCAGGCCACTGAGCCAGGGCCACTGTCAATGTGCGCATGGCTTCTGTCCCCATCTCACTTGGGAGAGTGGGAACGTGGAGGCTCGAGCCTGCAAAGCTGCAGCACAGGTGTGCTCAGGGTTGCAGGATGGGAAGGCTGGTTTGTCTGGGAGCAGGAGGAAAAGGGCCACCTGCTGGGCTTCAGCTAAGTGTGACAATGTCCCTTATTTCTGCAGATCTGGTCATTGCATCATATTTCTGAACAGTGAGTCATTTAGCTGGGTGCGGTGACACATGCCTGTAATCCCAGCAGCTCTGGAGGCTGAGGCAGGAGGATCATGAGTTGGAGGCCAGTCTCAGCAATTTAGTGAGGTGCTAAGCAACTCAGGGAGACCCTGTCTCTAAGTAAAATACAAAATAGGGCTGGGGATGGGACTCAGTGCCTTGCACATGTGAAGCACTGACTGGGTTCAATCCTCAGCACCACATAAAAACAAAAAATAAAGATATTGTGTCTATCTACAACTAGGAAAAAATATTAAAATAAAATATAAAAAAGGGTTGGGGATGGGGCTCAGTAGTTAAGTGCCCCTGGGTTCAATCCCTGGTACCAAAAAAAGGAAAAGGAAAAAAAAAAAATCCCCCAAACAAAAAAACGTTCTCATGGAATATTTCAGAAAGAGAACTGCAGTGACCTGAGCTGCCCGAACAGACGGTTCCACTACTGACATTTTATGAGCACATTTTAGAGGCAGGCACGCCCCTCCTGCTTGTGAAAACCCGCATTTTCACTTCAAAATTAGTTAATTGGACAACAGGTTACAACATTTGCTCTCAGATTTAAAGGAGAAAGCATGATTTGTGTTTGTTTCATGAAGTGTGAAGGAAGCAGGCAGAAAGAGAGCTGCAGCTCTCTTTCTAGAAAGGTTACGTCAGGTTTTAAGCTTTGGTTCTGTTGACTCAAATTCATTTATTCATTTTTTGTGGTCCTGGGGATTGGAACCCAGGGTCTTGAGCAGCCAGCCAGGCTCTACCACAGAGATACACCCCGGCCTAGGCCCTGACATTTTTTAACTTTTTTGGCGGGGAGGGAGGTAACTGAGGTTGAACCCAGGGGCACTTGACCTCTGAGCCCCATCACCAGTCCTATTTTGTGTTTTATTTAGAGACAGGGCCTCACTGGGTTGCTTAAGGCCTCACTTTTGCTGAGGCTGGCTTTGAACTCACGATCCTCCTGCCTCAGCCTCCTGAGGTGTGTGCCTCTGCACCAGGTTTTACATTTGTTCTTGAGGTTCTCAAATGGTCCCCTTTTATTCCAATGTGGGAAGACAAAACTAAAAAGCGCTCATTCACTTCCTGTTGGGGTGGGGGGGAGTGGGAAGAAATCGGCTGTCCAGTTTTGTAAAGGGGTTGTTTTTTTTCCTTTCTATCTAAAACCATGCTTTGTTTAAATGGCAAGTTAAATCGTAGGATCTCACAGGAGTCCTATTTTTCAAAAGCAGATACCTAAAAATTAATTTCTAGCTGGCAAACCTAATCCCTTCCAGCAAGATTTTTTTTTTTTTTTTGCCACAAAACCACAAAGTCCCTCTATGATCAATGTGATCTCAAGGAGGAGGAGGACACTGGCTTAGCGCATGGCGTTCCTGCATTGGGGGTGGGGGGGGAAGTGCAGTTGGTGAGCCCCACTTTCAAAAGGACAGAGGACGACCCTAGGAAGCCGGACTTCATTGTGACAAAAGCCCCTGAGGTTGAGACCAGTGGAACGTGGAGGACGTGCTCACCCATTCAACAGGCAATGGGGCTGGACAAGTCCCAGAGACTCGCCAAGTCTCATCAGGGCTTCAGAGGACCCAGGGACTCAGTCATCTCTGCAGCCCACGCAGGCACTCGGCGGGATACATTCAGACCTGAGCTTCCCCACTTTAGTGCTCCCTGGTTCCTTCCCCCAGTGAGCAGTGCCCGCCACAGAGGCTAACCCAGCCCATGATGACTCTGTTTTACTTTTTTGTGGGGGTGGCACTTTCTGGAAAGTACTGGTCACTGTCCTTTGCCCCTCATTAAAGAAGCAAAAACCTCAAGCAAATTGCCAGAGTTTTCTTCAGCCACCGGCTGATCACAGACAATTCACAGAAGGTCCTCCAGAGCCTGGACCCTCTTACCTCATTGTCATGTGGCGGGAGCTGGTGCAGCAGCTGCTTGATTCGCAGTTTCTCTCCGGGGCTGTTGACATAGGGGACTTTCTCTTCTGGCAGGCAGCTGTAATATTGGTGCACCTGAAGGAGAAAAAAGAACACGTGTCCTCACGTCCACTGCCCACTGCCCGGTAAGGGGACCAGGATTCCCCGCCCCCCCTCCACGTAGGATGCAACCCAACTCAACGGCCCCCACCCAGCGGGACACAGCCCACAGCCTGCGCTTCTTACTGCGAGCAGAAAAACACATCCTTAAAGAGAGAGCCAAGCCAATCGCCCCTCACTTGGGGCTTCGCTCTCTGCAAGGGAAAAATAAAGCCAAGGAGCTTGGATAGCAAAGGAGAGATGAGCGATCGCGCTGGGGAGGCCGCAGGGTAGGGCTTTCTCGCTGGAGTCCCCCGTGTCCCACTGGCTTTACCATTTTCTGAGCGTCTCTGGCGTGTGGGGTGCCTCCCTAGCCAAGGGATATGTCTGCGCCTGCCTGGGTGCTGCAGTCCAAGCCTGTCTCTGGCACAGGGTGAACTCCCGGGTACCTCAGCCTCCACCTATGTGAAAAGCCTTCCAGGTCTGGAGCCACTTGTGAGGCGGGCTGTAGCTGCCAGCCATCAGAAAGAGGCTCTCCAAACTTGGGGCGCACAGCACGTAACTTTGCATCGCCAGGAGTGTGAAGATTTTTTTGCATCTCTTACAACGCTCCTGTTTATCACCCCGTAGGGTCCATTCCTGCCCTTTCTGAAGCTCCTTCAATCTGATGTATGGGGAAAGCACCAAGGACCTCATTTTGCCGAGAAAAGAAAACAGAAGTTGGGAATCAGGCCTGGTGGCGCATGCCTATCATCCCAGCAGCTTGAGAGGCTGAGGCCGGAGGACTGGGAGTTCAAAGCCAGCCTCAGCAAAAGCAAGGTCCTAAGCAACTCATGATACCCTGTCTCTAAATAAAGTATATAAATGGGTTGGGGATGGGGCTCAGTGGTCAAGTGCTCCTGAATCCAATCCCCAGAACAAACAAACAAACAAAAAGTTGGAATGTTGGTAAAATCTGTAATTCCAGTGACTCAGGAGGCTGAGGCAGGAGGATGGCCCGTTCAAAGGCAGCCTCAGCACCTTAGTGATATTCTAAGCAACTTACAAAACCCTGTCTTTAAATAAAATATAAAAAGGGCTGGTGTATGGCTTGGTGGTTAAGCGCCCTGGTTCAATCCTTGGTACGGGGGGGAAAAAGACATTCTACCATCCAGCCATGTGTATAACAAGGGAGAGAAAAAACTGACCAAAGACAAGATATGCTGTCATAGAGGAGGAGCAGAAAAAAATCCTACAGGTTCACATCACATCATGGAAAATGCTTCCCAGTGTCTCTGAGCATCCTGAGCAGCCCTCACTGAACAAGCTCATTCAAGAAAACGAGAGGACAGAGGCTCCAACTCCCTCCTCGGCTCCCCTCCACACACTGGTCTAAGCCCTTGTGTCTGGGGAGCCTTGGATCTGAACACATGGGTTGGGCTTGCTGGAGTGAAGAGCAGCAAAGTCTCCTCCACTGTGATCTCTAGAAGCCAAGCCATGAGCGTTAGCAGGGGAGAGGCTTGCGCTGGTGAATTCAGAAACTCGTGGAAAGCCGTCTTTAGTTCCTCAACCAGTGATCAGAACCATCCTCCATCAGGTGCCCATCCGTGTCCAAATCCAAACCCCAAAGCAACCACAGGCAGAGCTCTGACCCAGCCCAGCTCGCTTCTGGAAGGCAGTGGACCTCTGCAGGATGATTCCCGCCTGCATCAGCCTCGGGCAGCAGCCCCACAGGCTCCTTCAAGGTGCAGATCCAGAAGGACTCCCCTGGATGGCAATGCTATGCAAGAACTGGAGGCCGTGGAGAGGAGGGTTGGGCAGCTCCCGCGGTCATGCACCCGGCAATAGAGAGGCGCCTGGCAGGGAGACTGGCAGGTTCTGGGTTTTGAAGGAGCCAGCAGCCCTGAGAAGGAACAGCCCCATCCTAAATGAGTGTGGTGGCAGTGGCTGGCTACTTGCTCATGGAAGACTGGCACACAATTAGGGACTTCTTCAGGAGAGTCCTGTAGCACATGGCTCATGGACAAGGGCCAAGTTTAAGGAGACACGCCCAGGTGTGTGTCTTGCATGTAATGTATTGCCAAGTGCATGGCCACCGGAGCCTGCCCAACCCCTCTCCAGGGACCCCAGGTACTGTACAGCATCGCCATCCTGGGGAGACCCTCCTGATCGGGTCCTGGAAGGAGCCAACTGGCGTACTGTATGAGGCTGATGCATGCTGGACTCTTCTCCGCATCTTGTACCACAAGGCAATAGACCTGAACCTCCAGCCACTGACTATCATTTCTCATCTCTAGGTTCCCAAGGAAGTCACCTAACTGCTCACAACAGGCACCCAAAGATCATGATGGTTAAATAAGAGAGGAGGTGAAGCATGTGGCCCTCAAGTTCAACAGACAGCACGAACACAAAACCAAATTTAGAGTTTGGCCTTGCTGGGGGACTGCAGATTGATGCAACCACTCTGTAAAGCAATCTGGAGATTCCTCAAAAAACATGGAATGGAATCACCACTTGAACCAGACATCCCACTCCTTGTCATATATCTAAATGACTTAAAATCAGCATACTATAATGACACAGCCACATCGACGTTTATATAGCAGCTCAATTCACAATAGCTCAGCTATGGGACCAACCTAGGTGCCCTTCAACAGATGAATGGATAAAGAAAATGTGGTACAGATACACAATAGAATATTACTCAGCCTTAAAGAAGATTGAAATGATGGCATTTGCAGGTAAATGGATGGAACTGGAGACTATCATGCTAAATGAAATAAACCAGTCCCCAAAAACCAGAGGCCGAATGTTCTTTCTGATGTGCAGATCCTAAGACACAATCTGGGTAAGGGAGGTAATAAGTCCACTGGGTTAGACAAAGGGGAATGAAGGGAAGGGAGGGGGATGGGAACAGGAAAGACAGTGGAGTGAATGGGACAGAACTTTCCCATGTTCATATAGGAGCACACGACCAGGGAAACTCCACATCATGTCCAACCACGAGAATGGCAAGTTCTACTCCATGCATGCATCATATATGTCAAAATACATTCTACTGCCCTGTATAACTAAAAAGAACAAATAAAAATTCTTTGAAAAATTAGAATATGGAATGGAACGATCTAGATATTTCCTGGCTTTTCTTCCATATTCAGATAGGAAGCCACACTGGTGGCGCAGAGGGTGAGACCAAGCCCTGGAGCCACCTACCTTAGCCTAAGCAAGAAACACAGGTTGCAAGGAATGTCATGACAGAAAACTAGCCTGATGTCCCAGGGGGAATGTCACATGGTGATAAAGGCGTGGTGCTCTCCCAAGAGACCTGGCAGCCAGTAGGGGGACCTGAGGAATCAGAAGCTGCCGCTGGAGGGTGCCTGGGGCTGGATTTTCCGCTCTCTGGGATCCCAGCGTGCTCTCCTCCTCTCTGCACAGATCTGCGTTGGCTTTCCCAAAGCGTCATGTTGCCCTCAGCAGCTGGTCGGCAGGGCTTTAGCTCAGGAATCCGCCCCAGACTCGGGAGCTTCTCTCAGTTCCCCAGAGACCGCCCCGATGACCTCGTCTTGCTCTGGGTTGACGTCGGGAGGTGGGATCAGAGAAGTACCAGGTGGTGAAGACGGAGGTGGGACCCCAACTTGGTGTGACCAGCTGAGGTGGAGCCGTGGGGTGCAGATCTCCTTTGGTGTGCCAAGGTCCCTCCTGAGGACTGAGTTCTGAAGTCACCAAAGGCTTGATGTGACTCTGTAGAGCCCAGACATGTCCTTTATAACTGCAGCCTACAGTCCACTGATGACATTTCTTCTTTCTACCAGGATTCCAGCAATTCCTCGAGTGTGGAGTGCGTAAAGATATGTTTTCCCAAGACAATCAACAATTGGATGGAGGCCTTGAAGGCCCATTACTGATCAGGGTGCACCGTTATGGAAACATTTATAACTCTATGTTAAATAGCAGCCTCCCAAAGTGTCCCCTACCACAGGGCAGGCGATCTGGCAGGCTCTGTAGAAAAGGAGTGAGTCCCCTGTGACCCTCAATCCTCTTCAAAGCCTGTTCAGGTTCACAGGGATCCTGCTCATGTTGACTCCTATCTCCTCCTTTTTTTTTTTTTGGTACCAGGAATTGAACCCAGGGGTGCTTCACCGCTGAGCCCCATCCCCAGCCCTATTTTGTATTTTACTTAGAGACAGGGTCTCCCTGAGTTGCTTAGGGCCTCACTAAGTGGCTGAGGCTGGCTTTGAACTCGCGATCCTCCTGCCTCAGCCTCCCGAATCGCTGGGATCCCAGGTGTGCCCCACCCCGGCCTGGCTTCTTGCAGTGTTTTGACCCTGGACTCTCCCAGTTTTTCATCCAGCCGAGGGGACTCGCGGGTGGAGGGCAGGGAGAGAGAAACAGCTCCCCTGAATTCCCAGCCTAGCTACGGGGATGCTGCCCGCACTCTCCTCCGCCACCGGCTCAGAAACGAACACCAACGGAACCAGTGCAGGGAGAAAACACTGACTCTACTTTTTGGCACCACCAAGATTAAATTTGGCACTGGCCCTGAGACACCAGCACATAGCTGGTGTTGGCCCAAACACGCCGCATTCCTAGGAGTAAATAAGCAATCCCACAGAGCTCCCTCAGGGAGGATCGTTCCCCAGACAGGACCTGGAACGCTGAGAACTTGGGTGTCTTCAAACACAGGCCTCTGGAATGTGCCAGAAGCTTCGCTCCCCGTGGACATTCTTGGGTAAAGGTGTCCTGGGATTCTGCCTTGGGTGAAGTCATAGGAGGCTCGTTCTCTCCCCCAACAAAAGCATTTTGGACACAGTACACCATCTTATGAAAACAAAATAGCTGAAGGCCTTTATTTAAGGTGTTGCTGCTCCCCAACAGGAGGCTTGGCAGCAACTCCAGACTGTCAGGCGGGTTCTAAGAACTTTAGTCAGCATGCAGATAACTCCACAGAGGGAGGCCTCGCCCAGTGGGGAAGACTGGGCTTGTTAGAAGGAACTGCACATTTGACAGCATCTCTGTCT